AAGGAGGAGGCTGCAATGCTTGGTAAGAAATGTACGCATTATCCTGCCCATGTAATTGTAACCCCTCTGTACAGTATGTTCACAAATAAAATAAAATAAATTTAAAAAATTCCCTATACTCAATAATAATAAAATATGGATATAAGTAAAAGATTTGAATAGGTACTTTCTCAAAGTAGATATCCAGGGTGAAAATAAGTTTATTAATAGATGGTCAACAACATTTGTAACTAGAGAAAATTAAATTAAAACTATAATGGGATATTTCACATCTATTAGAATGTTCATAATTAAAAAGATTGATCATACTAACTGTTAGGGAGAAAGTAAAAGAAACAAAACACTCATATACTACTGGTGGGAATGCAGAATTGCAATGGCTTTGGAAAACAGTTACAACAATCATGTGGTTCAGCCATTCTACACCAGGAGGATATTTACCCAAGAGAAATGGAAGCATATGTTCACATATAGACCTTTACATGAGTAAAGGTCAATAGCAAAAACATGGAAACAATTCAAAAGTAAACTGAAACCAGCAACAAGAGATCAGATAACTTGTAGAATACCATAGCAGAAGATACTACTCAGCAATAAAAATAAGAGAACAACTGCTGGTGGCTTACACCTGGAATTCTAGTGACTCAGGAGGCTGAGAATCTGAGGATCACAGTCCAAACCCAGCCTGGGCAGGAAAGTTCATGAGACTCTTATCTCCAATAAACTACTCAGAAAAAGCCAGAAGTAGTGTTGTGGCTCAAGTTGGTATAGTACTAGACTTGAGTACAGAGGCTCAGAAACAGCACCCAGACCCTGAGTTCAAGCCCCAGGACTAGCAAAAAGAAAAAAAAAAAGTGAACAACAAATATATTCAACATGAATGAATCTTACACTGTTCTTAGTAAAACCTATAATATAATAAAATAGTGATCAGTGATGACCTAGGATTGAAGAAACTCTAGGGTGATAAATGTTCATTATCTTAATAATAATGATGATTTCTGAAACATATACAACTGTCAAATTGCTAAAAGTTACACTTTAAATATGTTATTGTTATTACTTATACCCAAATGAAGATATTGAAAATGTGTTTCAGTGCATTTTATGACACTTTAAGCATAAAAGTATAAAAGATATGTAAGAGAATATTAAAATACAAAAGTAGGTCTTCAGTGTATGTATAGCCCTGGAAGATTAATACTTACTGCATATGTGTTAGTCCAGTGTTTTACTACATTTTGAGATTGCAAATGCATATCTTTCTTCGCCTTTCTTTCTGCACGAAGAGCTGCTGCTTTTCTTGTCAAACCGTCAAGGCTATCCTGAATTCTTTTCCATTCATTGTGAGGAATTATGGTCACTTGCTGAAGATCTACCTTGCTAGGTAAAAGAGGCGGGTAGGAAATTCCATCTTCTCCAGAATTCCTTATTTCTAATAAAATTTAAAACATCAGGTTATTAAAAAAGTGCAAATGATTTTCTTCAGAAATTTATATATTAGCACGATATCTAGAATTGCTTTGAGTATTTAATTTGTGTGTGTGTGTGTGTGTACGCGCACTTGCACGTGAGCGTGCTGGACCTGGGGGGTTGAACTGAAGTGTGGGCACTGTCCCTAGCACTCTACCAGTTGAGCCACAGCTCTACTTTTGGCTTTTTGGTGGTTAATTTGAGATAAGAATCTCACAGACTTTCCTGCCCACGCTGGCTTTGACTATTCGTCTTCAGATCTCAGACACCTGAATAGCTAGGATTACAGGAGGAAGCAGCCACCAGCTCTCAGCTGACTTTATTCTTATTGTCTTAAAAACAGTTTATATTGAGTGGAAAAATAAGGCTTTGAAGTCAGAGAACCTAGACTCAAGTCTTTGCTTGGCCATTTCCTTCCTATGTAAATTTGGGCAGTCATTCAACTTCTTAGAACCTTGATACCCACACTTTTTTTTTCCTGGATTCTGGGGTTTGAACTCAGCGCCCAGTATTTTCACTTGGCATTTTTGCTCAAAACTGGCACCCTAGCATTTTAGCCACACCTCCACTTCCAACTTTTTTCTGGTTAGTTGAAGAGTCTCACGAATTTTTAAAAATTATTAGTAGTTTATAGTTATTGTACAGAGAGGTTACAATTACACCAGTCATGTAACGAGTACATTTCTTTTTGTACAGTGTCTTCTGTCTCCTCACTCTCTCTTAGTCCCTCCCTCCCGTCTCCACCCGTGGGATGGATAGCTCATCTTCATCAGTCTCCAGTGAGCTCCATTGCTGCACTTTTCACCCTTTTTCCCTTGAGTTCTGTGCCCTCCCTCCAACCCTTCCAAAAATGTACTCTTAAGCACACCATTTATAAGGTAAAGATGACAGAATCATCAAAAACTAAAAAAAGAAGTCTCTTGTTTCCATATCTTGGAGTTTGTTTCAGTATGTATATTATTTTTATATAAATAAGAAGAGGCACTTAGGCATATGCCTTTCTCAGAGACTTTTCTTCCCAGGCTGGCTTCAAACCTCTCTCCTTAGATCTCAGCTTCCTGAGTAGCTAGGATTACAGGTGCAAGCTACCAGTACTCACCTGGAACCCTCATCTTTAAAGATGATAGCAATAACTATCCCCAATAGGTCATTATAAATAATGTTCAAAGTTAATGATGTGGCAATTCATAAATGAATAACCTTGAGAATATCCATTTGGGGATATTCTTTAGACATTGTGATATATTCCTATTCTTTTATCAATTGATTTTCTTAATTACTAACAAACTCAGTCTCACTTGTTTAAGCATGAAAGGAATTCATTATGGAATATTAGGCATCCTGTGGAATATCCCGGAAAACCAATTCATCCTTGGAAGCTGTACATACAAAACACCATACAAGCTACATCATGAGGTCCTAGTGGAGGCTGCCCACTGGATATCACCACTGATGTCAATAAAATAGTACGCTATTGCTGCCATTCTCTCCAGAAAATGGAGTCAATATGATGTTTGCTTCTTTATACTGTTGTTTGCAGAATACAAATCTAGTAAATGTCAAACTAATGGATGAGTCTTAGTTCTATGTTTGCAGTCTAGTTACAAGGGATGCTGGGTAAATTAATTCTGCTTCCTACCTTAAGGAGGTGGTAGGGTTTATAAGATACAAAATTTGGGTTGGGAAGGTGGCTCAGTGGTAGAGCGCTTGAATTTGGGCTGGGAAGGTGGCTCAGTGGTAGAGCGCTTGAATTGGGCTGGGAAGGTGGCTCAGTGGTAGAGCGCTTGCCTTGCATGCATGAGGCCCTGGGTTTGATTCCTCAGCACCACATAAGCAGAAAAAAACAGCCAGAAGTGGCATTGTGGCTCAAGTGGTAGAACACCTAGCCTTGAGGTGAAGAGCTGAGGAACAGCGCCCAGGCCCAGAGTTCAGGCCCATGATCAGACCCAAAACAAACAAACAAAAAAAGATACAAAATTTATTGAAACCAGAAAAGAGATTTGACTATTGATGGGTGGGCCAAATATAACAAAGGTACAGTGATACAATGGATAACGTTAGAGACACTGGACTTTTTCCTGAGCAGCCTGCATATTAACTATGTGATTTAACCTTTATGAATCTGTTTCTTTCATTGTAAAATGATATTATTGGCAGTACCAGTTTTACAAGGTTGGTGTGATGGGCTGGGAATGTGGCTTAGTGGTAGAGTGCTCCCCTAGCATGCATGAAGCCTTGGATTTGATTCCTCAGTACCACATAAACAGAAAAAGCCAGACGTGACACTATGGCTCAAGTGGTAGTGCATTAGACTTGAACAAAAGAAGCTCAGGGACAGTGCCTAGGCCCTGAGTTCAAGCCCCAGGACTAGCAAACAAAAAAGCCCAAGGTTGGTGTGGTAATTAAAGCAATACACATAAACAATTAAGCATAGCACCTGGTACCCAGCATGCTCTCAACAAATATTTGCTGTTAATACTTTCATTATTTAGTTTTGAGAGGAATAAAACAGAAGCAGAGACAAGAAATACCAAAGCTTTACAATAAGAGAAAGAGAACTGAAAGAAAAGCTGCTAGGATTGGTTAATCATCTTAGGGTTTAAATTAAGATAGATGAGAATGAGAAGTGGTTGCTAAGCTGAAATGAATTTAGAACAACAGACACTATCGTGCCCACTTGCCTACTTCCCAAGCCTTTATATGTAGAATAAAGCCAATCAAAACTGAAAAGCAGAGACTGGGAATGTGGCTTGGTGGTAGAGTGCTTGCTTAGTATGCATGAGCTCCTAGGTTTGATTGCTGGTACCACATAAACAACAAATCAATAAAATCAAATAAAAAACACTGAAAAGCAGAAGAGTGCTCTACAAGTGTTGCCTATATTCTTTCATCTTTACTGTGAATTAGTCACTTGCAACCAAAAAGACCTGATCAAAATACATGCTTGTAGCATTTGAGCCATAGCACCACTTCTGGATTTTTCTGTGTATCAAACCCACAGCTTCATGCATGCTAAGCAAGCACTCTACCACTCATATTCCCAGACTGTGTGTTACTTTCAAACAGAGGATAATCAAACAGAAATGCCTTAAGTTAAAACATCTGTCTTTTAATTAATATATTCTTGGGCACATTAACATTTTTCTCTGACTTGTATTCTTGTTTTTTTCTTCTTTCTTTCTTAGTAGTACTGGGAACTAAACTCGGATTGCATGTTTACTAGTCAAGTGTTCTTCAACTTAAGCCTTATCTCCCCTTCTTCTGTGTTGGTTACTTTTTTTTGGGGGGGGTCCGATCGTGGGGGCTGAACTCTGGGCCTGGGCGCTGTCCCTCAGCTCTTCAGCTCAAGGCTAGCGCTCTTCCACTTGAGCCACAGTGCCACTTCCGGCTTTTTTCTTTTTTGCTTATGTGGTGCTGAGGAGTCGAACCCAGGGCCTCAGGCATGCAAAGCAAGCGCTCTACCACTGAGCCACCTTCCCAGCCCTGTTGGTTACTTTCTACTTTGAAAATAAACAGTTTTGTCTGCCACTGGTGGCTCATGTCTATAAACCTTGCTTATTCAGGAGATCTGAATAGCTGAGATCTGACTATTCAAAGCCAGCCCAGGCAGAAAAGTCCCCATGAGACTCTTATCTCCAATTAACCACTCAAAAACAAACAAACAAAAATGAATAGAGCAATGGCTCAAAATGGCAGAGTATTAGTCTTGCACAAAAGAACTCAGGGGGCAGCACCCAGGCCTTGAGTTCAAACTCCACAACTGACCAAAAAAAATAGAATAAAATAACCAGTTTTATGCCTAGACTATCCTGGGCTTCAAGCATCCTACATGTGCTTCTCCACATAACTGGGATGACAGAAACATGCCATTATGCCAAGCCATTGTGCTTACCTGGTAGCTAATATAACAGCCATTGCTTGAAATGAAGCTTTATAATTTTATTCCCCCAGATTGGCCTCCAATCTCTGTCTCCCAAGGAGCTAGAATTACAGGTTTGAACCACCACACCTGGCTTTTTAAATATATTTTTAATTGACATATAGCAATTGAACATATTTATGGGGCACGGTGTCATTTTTTTTTGTTTTTTTCTTGGTCATGGGGCTTGAATTCTGGGCCTGGGTGCTATCCCTGAGTTCTTCAACTTAAGGTTAGTGCTCTGCCACTTAAGCCATAGCACCACTTCCGGTTTTCTGGTGATTAACTGCATAGAGTCTCATGGACTTTCATGCCAGGCTGGCTTTGAACCAGGATCCTCAGATCTCAGCCTTCTGAGTAGGTAGAATTACAGGCGGGAGCCACCAGCACCCAGCTGCTGTATATTTTTGAGGATCAGAGACTTAGTGGATAATATTGCTTAACAATATGCTTTTTTTTTTTAAGTAGCCAGGCCAGACCTCTGTGTTAATATGGCCATACCCTCTAGAACAGATTTAATTACATGAGTACTGAGAGTGTTCTTTTTGTTTTTGTCTTTTTGTTTTTGTTGTTGTTCATTTTTTGGTTGTTTTTTTTTGTTTTGTTTTTAACGTTCTCATTCTTTATCTGGTCTTCCACAAGCTGGCCACAAGTCAGTGGATCAAACACTAAGACTGGAATGTATGCACTCAGAAGCATTAGTCAGTAGAGAATGTTACCCTGACTTTAGAGTGGCTAGAATTGAGTCATTCCCTTTAGAGACATTACTAAGGCTGGCAGATTTGCAGCAGACTCAAGTCATTGGCATTTCCGAAAGATATCCCAATCAATTCGGTAATTGACAAAACTTAGGTCCCCATCCCCACGCCTCCGGGATCTGGAAACTGTCACTGGCTGAGGATCTACAGCTGGTCGGTTAGGGTTACTCTACTTTTCTTCTTTTCTTTCTTTTTTGTGGAGTCCCCCCCAACTCCCCCGACGAGGAGCTTGAACTCAGGGTCCCTGGGCCTTTTCGTTTAAGGCTAGCGCCACTTCCAGCTTACAGGTGGTTAATCGAAGATGAGTCTCACGGACTTTCCTGCCCAGGTTGGCTTAGAACCCAGATCCTCAGATCTCAGCCTCCCGAGTAGCCAGGATTACAGACGTGAGCCCCCGGCGCCCGGTTTCCATAACCTTCTCCCGGCTCTCTCGCCAGTCCCTTTCTGTCCGCCACCATGCATCTCCCGGCAAGAACTCCAACTGCGTTACGGCGGATGCTTCAAACCCAGGCCGGGTCCGCTTACCAAGCACCTTCCTGGCTTGTCCGGAGCGCCTTCCGAACCGCACCAGCATCTGCTCCCCAAACATCAGATTTGGGTACCAGACTATATCGCCCAGCAGAGTCCAGCCGCCTGAAAGTTTCTCGGAACATTCGGTTGCTTAGCAACGCCGCCGGACGTGACGTGAGCCGTCGCCGAGGAACGAAGAACGCGCCTTAGTGGACGGGGGCGTGGACAAAAGGGGGAGGGGCTGGAGAGCTAGAGTGCGCCTGCGCAGGACGTGGACGCGGGGCGGGTGCTGTGGAGCGGCGTTGGCGGGCCGGCGTGGGAACGAGGCTGGAGGACCTAAGCCGCCGAAGCCGCGCGGACATCGGAACGGCTAGGGGCGGCTGACGCCAGGACCGGGTCAGTGAGGAGCTTTCGGCCCCAGCCCAGTCTGCTGCTCCCATCCCGGCCTGAGGCTCGCCTCGCGGGGGTCGCACCCCAGCGAGGTCCCGACGCCCGCCTTCGGGTGGACCCGGCAGGTGTGTGAGCAGGAGAGGCCTAACCCCCCCCCCCCCGTGTGTGCGGCCCACTGATGTCCACGCGGGAGGAAGGTGGCGCCTTAACTGTAGGAAAGCATGGGCGAACTCATTTTTAGATTCTTTTTGATAACCAAGGCATGGTCAGGATTAAATGAGGCTGAGGATTTTAGTTTTTGGCAGCCCTGGGTCTTGAACTCAGGGCCTGGGCACTGTCCCTGAGCTTTTGCTTAAGGCAAGCAATCTACCATTTGAACCACAGCGCCACTTCTGGTTTTTTTTCTGTTAATGTGTTACTGAGGAATCGAACCCAGGGCTCCATTCGCGGTAGGCAAGCACTCTACCACGAAGCCACATTCCCAGCCCTTAAGAAAAAAAACAATATTAAAGCTTGAATGTTGTCCTCAAAACATTCTAGTTAGGACTTTTACGATATTTTAAACTGCTTGGTCAATATGTGATGATGAATTGTATGTGTTTTGGGACTCTGTCAGGTCATTAATGACACAGATCTGTTAAGAGTAGTTAAAGCACTTGATTTCAGAAGTCTTTTTGTATATGTGTCCTGGAGCTTGAACTCAGGACCTGGTGTGTGTGTTTGAGGGGAGGGGGTTACTGAGACTTGAACTCAAGGCCTCGATGCAGCCCCTGCCTTATTTTGCTCAAAGTTTATGCTCTACCACTTGAGCCACAGCTCTGCTCTGGCCTTGTGGTAGTTTTCTGCTCATGTTGACACAGAACAGTGATCATCAGATCTAATTCTCCTGAATATGGCTATAGGCATGAGCTATAGATCCAAATATTTTTAAACACATTATTATACAGCTGTTTTCATTATTACTTGGCTCCGAGGACACATAATTAGGTACCACGTTGAAGTAACTCAAAATGAAAGCATGTAAGAAGATTTTGAATAACAGAAGTTCTAACATATAGTTGTGCTATTTTTCTTTAGGTTTTCTATCAGATGTTCCACTGTAATAATGCTGGTAAGTACAGAAGGGTTAAAAAATACCCATAGACAGAACTTTATAACTTTATAACATTGCTGGCTCATTGGAAGTAGCTTAAAACATGCCAAGTGCTGGGAGGAGTACAAGATTTGATTGTGTTTGTAGGCTAACAACAATTTGTCATGATTTTATACAAACTTAAAGATTCCTAGGTCAGAAGTTATAGCAGTATCTAGAATACTAGCAATTTTGCTTTAGTTCCCTCAAGAAGATGATACAAAATAAGGCATAAGTCATTGGACATGGAGTGTATTGCATTACAGAACAGGAACCCTGAGCTGAGAGAACCTGAATATTATAATGGACAGCAAGCATGCCTTTCAAGGCTGTTCCCTATACTTGAATCAATAGTCTTGAGTAATTGGTAGTGAGTACATTGCTTGTTACTGATGCAGAGCTTCATAGAGAATAGTTTCCCTACAAAAAAATTTAACTAGGGCTGGGAAGGTGGCTCAGTGGTAGAGTGCTTGCCTTGCATGCCTGAGGCCCTGGGTTCGATTCCTCAGCACCACATAAGCAAAAAGAAAAAAGCCGGAAGTGGCACTGTGGCTCAAGTGGAAGAGCGCTAGCCTTGAGCTGAAGAGCTGAGGGACAGCGCCCAGGCCCAGAGTTCAGGCCCCACCACCAGGTCAAAAAAAAATTTTTTTAAACTAAAATATTTACAAAAAGTACTGAATATCATAAGACTTGATATCAACTTGCCAACTTGATAGAGTTAGACATCATTTGACTACAGATCCTGCATCATAATACATAGATCTCTACAGTTAATGCAGAGTTTTTGTTCTTTGCCTCCCAGTCCTACTTTCTGTTGTAAATTTAAAAGGTAGCACTTCCATCCAGATCTAGAACAATTTTAAGTTATTCTATTGGCTTTTTTCCCTTGTTTTACCAAAATTACTAGAAAAAGTACAAACCACAATTGAACCAGTCTTTAAGACCCTACTACTACACTGTGTGTGTGTGTGTGTGTGTGTGCGCGCACGTGCGTGTGCACAAGTACGCGCTTAGATGGGATTTGAACCCATGGACTCAAGCTCTTTTAACTTTTATGCTCAAGGTTGGTGCTCTACACTTTAGCCACACACACCCACTTTGCTATTTTTGCTGATTAAATGGAGATGAGTCTCTTGGGCTCTTAGCTGGTTAGTTGGAAATCTGATATATATATATATATATATATGCACACACACACAATTATACTGTAAATGCTATTTTGTTACTTCTTTCTGTTAACTGAACTGAATGTCTTAGCTTTTATTGGCTGAATAAATACTCTTATTTTGTGTGTCTATGCTCATACTAAGACTTGAACTTAGGGTCTCATGGTTCTTCAACTTTTTTTTTTTTTTTTGCTCAGGGCCTAGGCACTGTCCCTGAGCTTTTGCACTCAAGGCTAGTATTCTGCCACTTTGAGCCACAGGACCATTTCCAGTTTTCTGGTGGTTAATTGCAGAAAAAAAGCTTAGTACATGCCGGGCGCTGGTGGGACACACCTGTAATCCTAGCTACTCAGGAGGCTGAGATCTGAGGATCGCGCTTCAAAGCCAGCCCAAGTAGGAAAGTCTGTGAGACTCTAATCTCCAATAAACCACTCAGAAAACTGGAAGTGGTGCTGTTGCTCAAGTGGTAGAGTGCTTGCCTTGAGCTGAAGAACTCAGGGACAGCACCCAAGCCCAGAGTTCAAGCCCCATGACCAACAACAACAACAAAAAAGTCTTAGGGCTTTACTGCCCAGACTTGCTTCAAACGTGATCCTCAGATCTCAGCCTCTTGAGTAGCTAGGCTTACAGGTGTGAACTACTGGTACCTGGTTCCTTCAAGTTTCTTGCTTTGTTTTCTTGCTCTTTGCTGACACAATACCACTTGAACCTCAACTGCTGTCTGGCATTTTGCTGATTAGTTGGGGATGCCTTCAAACTGTAGTCCTCTTGAACTCAGTCTTCTGAATAGCTAAGCTTACACTCAGCTAAATAGTTGGCTATTGAACACATACTGTAATCAGTCTCCAATACTTGAATGTTTTTAGTTTTCATAATTGTGAGAAGTAAATAGTCTGCTCTTACATTATGGAAACATCACAGACATACCAGATAGACATTGCGTATAGTTTTGGAAAGAACAATTAATAGCTCTTTTTGTCATTTTGACATCAGGTTTCAAAATGCATTCACATTCCTTTTTGGAGAATTTTATTTTAAGTATATCACTAAAATCTTTGAATGTTTTGTTTTGTATTGAGACAGTCTCATTTTGCAGCTCAGATTAGCCTCAAAACTAGTCAACCTCTTGGCTCAGCCTCTTGAGTGCTAGGATTATAGGCAAACTCCACCCCACCTTACTTGAATATTTACTGAAAATATCGTGCAGTATTTCCCTGTTAACAAGTTAAAAATAACAACGGGAACTAAACATAGGACTACCCTCTAATCCTACAATACCATTCTTGGTCATCTACCCAAGTCCAGATCTTTACTTGCCCCTAGAACAAATTTATGTTAAGTGAATTAAGGTTCAGAGAGAGAAGCAGTGCATGTTTTCTCATCTGTGGAAGCTAGATGTAAAGTACAAACACATAGCCAGAGCTCTATGCATATAAACCCAAACTGATAAAGGACAATACCTCTAAGGGAGGAGTCCAAAGGTGTAGCTCCTCTAAACAACTAATGAACTGTTTACCAAAATGAATACCAGTAAATGGGAACATGTTTTGAGTTTCTTTTTTTATTTTTGGCAGGGGGGGGGTCTGGTTGTGGGGACTGAACTCTAGGCCTGGACGCTGTCCCTCAGCTCTTCAGCTCAAGGCTAGGGCTCTACCACTTGAGCCACAGTGCCACTCCCGGCTTTTTTCTTATGTGGTGCTGAGGAATCGAACCCAGGGCCTCAGGCATGCAAGGCAAGCACTCTACCACTGAGCCACCTTCCCAGCTGGGAACATGTTTTGAGAGGAGAGGAAAGGGTAGCACAAGAATGGAGGAAGGATGAGTAAATACAGTCATTGTATTCAGTTGACATTATGTAAAAACTGAACTATATAACTTGAGGGTAGAGATAGGAGGGGGAAAATCAGGGAGAATGATCAAGAAGCATTGTACTCATAACCTGACTTAGGGAATTGTAACCCCTTTGTCCAACTATGTACAATAATTAAAAAGAGAAAGAAGGAAAAAAAAGTCGGCACTGATGGCTCACACCTGTAATTCTAGTTGCTTTAGAGGCTAAGATCTGAGGATCACAGTTTGAAACTAGCCCAGGTAGAAAAGTCCATGGGATGCTTATCTCTAATAAACTACTTAGAAAAAGCCAGAAGTGGCGCTCTGGCTCAAGTGGTAGAGTGTGAACCTTGAGCAAAAGAGGCTCAGGGTTGGTGCCCAGTCCTTGAATTCAAGCCCTGGGACTGGCACAGGAAAAAAAAGAAAAATTTAATCATAGGAGCAACCTCAAACCTTGAACCTGGAAATAAATCTCAATCAGCTTAACTGTTGTGATTTTATCCATTGAATTAAAAGCTTATTTTCATATAACATTCCCTGTTTTATATTTCTGGTTAATTGTACTATCAAAATTTTGTTTCTCCTATTGTGAATAGATGCTTTTGATATAAGAAAAAAATCAACATAATTAGAAAACAATTTCAAACTTTTAAAATACTTTAATTTTAGGAGTTAAGAAGTTTCCATTCTTTTGCTCCAAATCAGAAGACTTTATTCCCTGCATACAGAATTAGAGTGATGTTGTTTAAAACCAACTGACAACTGGCTGGTGTTTAAAACTGAAGATTGTCATGACTGTTTAACCTAAGCTCTATGCTGAAATAAGATTTGTCATATGGGAAATAACTAATTTGGGTAAGTATTTAATTATTAGGTACAAAGGGGTTACAATTCCAGAAGTTAGGTTATGAGTACACTGCTTCTTGATCAGGATCACCCCTTTCTTTGTTCATCCCCATTCTCCCCCTCCCATCCCCTCCCATCAAGTTACATAGTTCATTTTTTACATAATTGGGTAAGTATTTTTAATAAAAGTATATATGAATGGTGAGAAAATGCTAATAGAAAAAGTTACAAAATTAATAAGGAGGCTAACATCCAGAGGTTTAAACCAGACAGTTTACTAGACTTTTTTTTTTGTCAGTCGTGGAGTTTGAACTCTGGGCCTGGGCACTGTCCCTCTTCAACTCAAGGCGAGCACTCTACCACTTGAGCCACAGCACCATTTCCGGTTTTCTGGTGGTTTATTGGCAATAAGAGTCTTAGGGACTTTCCTGCCCGGGCAGGCTTTGAACCGTGATCCTCAGATCTCAGTCTCCTGAGTCGCTAGGATTACAGGCGAGAGTCACTGGCGCCTAGCTTACTAGACTCATCTCCAAAATAATCAGCAAAAAAACTATGGCTGGATGTAGCTCATTAGAGCTCCAGCTGAGCAAGTAAGATCAGCAAACACAAGGCCTTGAACTTTTGGGCTAAAGGCATCAGTGGCTCACACCTGTAATCTTAGCTACTCAGGAGGCTGAGATCTGAGGTTCGCAGTTCAAAGCCAGCCCGGGCAGGAATGTCTATGAGACTCTTACCTCCAATTAACCACCAGAAAACCGGAAGTGGCACTGATAGAGCACTTTCATTGAGCTGAAGAGCTGATAGTGCCAGGCCCAGAGTTCAAGACCCACAACAGACCAAAAAAAAGGCCAAAGGCCAGAAGATAAGCTGTGTGTGTGTGTGTGTGTGTGTTAAGCTGTGTGTGTGTGTGTGTGTGTGTGTGTGTGTGTGTCATAAACAGGGTGCTAGTGGTTCATGCCTGTAAGGAACCTGGAGGATTAGAGTTCAAGGCCAGCCCATCTAAAAAATCTGAAACCATCTCCAGTTAACCAGCCAGAAAACAAAACAGGGCTGGAGGTAGGCTCAAGTGGCAGATCACTAGTGATATGTAAGAAAGCCAAGCCAGTGCAAAACCCTAAAGTCAAGTTCCAATTCTGGCAAAAAAAAAAAAAAAAAGATTACATGCTGAGTCAAATCTGTTTAGAAATTTTGGTTAGGGCTGGGAAGCTGGCTCAGTGGTAGAGCGCTTGCCTTGCATGCCTGAGGCCCTGGGTTCGATTCCTCAGCACCACATAAGCAAAAACAAAAAAGCTGGAAGTGGCGCTATGGCGCAAGTGGTAGAGCGCTAGCCTTTAGCTGAAGAGCTTGGGGACAGCGCCCAGTCCCAGAGTTCAGGCCTCATGACCAGACCCCCCCAAAAAATTTTTTGGTTAGTATATAGAGTATTATTACTATAGATGAACTGTTATTTAATATTCATATATAATAAAATTTATGGCTTACTATTCATATATAATAAAATTGTATGACTCTGCTTGATAATTTAAAGCTAGCAGAAGATTAGTATGCAATTTTTATGTCATGTAAAATTTTTTTTTCATTTTTTGGTGTCAATCCTGGCTTGAACTCAGGTCCTGGGTGCTATCCCTGAGCTTTATCCTCTCAAGGCTAGTGCTCTACCACTTTTGAGATACAGCTCCATTTTTAGCTTTTTTTAAGTTGCTAATTGGAGATAAGACTCACCAAGCCAGGTGCTGGTGGTTCACACCTGCAATTCTAGCTACTCAGGAGGCTGAAATCTGAGGGTCACAGCTGAAAACCATCCCAGTCAGAAAAGTCTAAGTCTCTTCTCTCCAGTTACCCACCAGAAAACTAGAAGTGGAGCTGTGGCTCAAAGTGGTAGAGCACTATCCTTGAGCAAACAAGCTCAGGAAGGACTGGGAATGTGCCATAGTGGCAGAGTGCTTACTTAATTAGTATGCATGAGGCCCTGGGTTCAATTCCACAGTACCACATTGAATTAAAAAAAAAAAAAGCTCAGGGATCTGCTCAGGCTCTTGACTTCAAGCCCCATGACCGACAAACAAAAAAAGAGTCTCACTGACTTTCCTGCCTGAGCTGGCTTTGAACTGAAATCCTCAGATCTCAGTCTCCTAAGTAGCTAAGGATGGCAGGCTTGAGCCACCAGCACCTGTCTGACTTGTAAATACTCTTATCATCCTTACAGCAAAATGATGATACTACCCCCCTTCTTTTTAGATATTTTGTTGTTCAATTCACTTAAAATACTCAAATATAAACTTTGCTGCTTTAAAACAAGAGTTTTAGCTTATAATCCCAAACTACTTAGTGATTAGGTTATAGTTCTTTCAATAAGCTAATATTTACTTCTAGTTTTAGCTAAGTATAAACACAGACTGTTTAGGGAATAATATTTTTTTCAGGGTAACCCAAAGCTATTTCTATGACAATGAAAATTTTGTTGGTGTTTGCCTTCAATAATAAAAGCATAGATGACAGTAATGACACTTGGATTGTACAGTGTCTTCTAATAAGTTATCATTTACTTCTAGGTTTAGATAAGTATAAATACAGAATGTTTAGGGAATAATATCCTTTTTCAGGGTAATCTAAAGCTATTTTTAGAACAATGAAAATTTTGTTGGTGTTTGACTTCTATAATAAAATCATAGATACTACAATAATGGCACTTGGATTGTACAGTGTCTTTTAATAAGTTAACATTAACTTCTACATTTAGGTAAGTATAAACACAGAACGTTTAGGCAATAATATTTCTTCTTTTTTTCAGGGTAACCCAAAGCTATTTCTGGAACAATGAAAATTTTGTTGGTGTTTGACTTCGATAATACAATCATAGATGACAATAGTGACACTTGGATTGTACAATGTGCTCCAGACCAAAAGCTTCCTATTGAACTACAAGATTCTTATCAAAAAGGATTTTGGACAGAATTTATGGGCAGAGTCTTTAAGTATTTGGGAAATGAAGGTGTAGGAGAAGATGAAATGAAAAGAACAATGCTATCAATGCCTTTCACTCCAGGGGTGGTGGAACTTTTCAACTTCATAAGAGAGAATAAGGATAAATTTGATTGCATCATTATTTCAGATTCAAATTCAGTCTTCATAGATTGGATTTTAGAAGCTGCTGATTTCCATGATGTGTTTGATAATGTGTTTACAAATCCAGCAGCTTTTGATAGCAATGGTCATCTCACTGTGGAAAATTATCATGCCCATTCTTGTGATAGGTGCCCAAAGAATCTTTGCAAAAATGTAGTTTTGGTAGAATTTGTGGATAAACAGTTAAAACAGGGAGTGAATTATACACAGATTGTTTATGTAGGTGATGGTGGGAATGACCTCTGTCCAGTAACCTTTTTAAAGAAGGATGATATTGCCATGCCACGGAAAGGGTATACTTTACATAAAACTCTTTCCAAAATGTCTCAAAATCTTCAGCCCGTAGAATCTTCTGTTGTAATTTGGTCTTCAGGTGTCGAAATAATTTCTCATTTACAGTCTCTAATAAAGGAGTAATGCCAACAATTGGAATGTGTATTAGTTAAGGTTAGGTTCAGCAACAAAAATTTCTTATGTTAGATACGAGTAAAAAAGGGGAGGTGAGGGTGTTTCCTCTCACTTAAAAAGAATTCCAGAAGTATCCCAATTCTGCTAAGGTACTCTACCAACCTTAGCACTTGGCTTCCAACTCATGAACTGAACTTCCTGTTCAAGCTTCAACCCTCATGGCAACATTCTGGTCATCATGGAAGGCAGTGAGTACCATTAGCCAAAATAATGGAAAATAACAGCTTTCACTTTATGGAAATTGGTAAAAAAGAGAACTTAAGCAGGTACAACTAGTAGTCTATACTAAAGGTGGTGTTGTATGTTACATTTAAAATTTTATTCCTGTAGAGGTCATGTTTACTCTCTCAGATATTTATTCCAGAAATATACAGTAATTGCAGATCTTACAAATAAGCTCTCAAATATATACGTTTTCTTAAATCAGTATGGTTTTTTTTTTTGGGTCCGGTCGTGGGGCCTGAACTCTGGGCCTGGGCGCTGTCCCTCAGCTCTTCAGCTCAAGGCTAGCACTCTACCACTTGAGCCACAGCGCCACTTCCAGCTTTTTTGTTTTTGCTTATGTGGTGCTGAGGAATCGAACCCAGGGCCTCAGGCATGCAAGGCAAGCACTCTACCACTGAGCCACCTTCCCAGCCCCTTAAATCAGTATGTTTTAAAGACAGGGATGCAGTATTGTTGTAAGTTTTGTTTTGTTTTTTTTTTTTATCAGTTTCCCTAGTTCATTTTGAAATCAAATAGCAAACATTTTAAGTTCATACAATAGTAATGATGATGGTATGTTTTTTGTTTTGAGATTGTCTCACCCGATAGCCTAGGCTGGCCTCAAACTTGTAATTATTCTTCAGCTGCCTGAGTGCTGGGATCACAGATAATGTACCACCACACCCTAGTTCAATATGCTAATTTAATCAGTGTTGAAAACAGAAATACAACACTTTATTGTCATGGGCTATACAGCATATAATTTATGGGAATAGTCAACATTTAGGAGACTTTCTGTTTGTTTTGTTGGTCTCGGGGCTTGAACTCTGGCCTGGGTACTGTCCCCCAGCTCTTCAGCTCAAGGCTAGCACTCTACCACTTGAGCCACAGTGCCACTTCTGGTTTTCTGGTGGTTTGTTGGAGGTAAGAGTCTCATAGACTTTCCTGCCTGGGTTGGCTTTGAACCTCAATCCTCAGATCTCAGCTTCCTTAGTAACTAGGACTGCAGGCATTAGTGCCTACACTTGGTGAGTGCCCAGCTTAGGAGACTTCGTTATATTAGTGTCAACTGATGTAGAAATTTTTATAAATTAATGCTAATTTAGGGCTAGATATATGGTTCAGACATAGTACTTGTCCAGCAAGCACAAGACCTTGAGTTCAAACCCTAGTACCACCAAATTTTTTTCTGAAAATTGCCAGTTTCTATGCTCATGTTTTAGTCATAATCAGTATGTTCTAATATTAAGATTTTCTTAATTGTGGATCTTTATTTTGCCTTAATAGATTTGATTATGTTGAAACACATAATATTTTGAATAAGGACCACATATGATTGCCAATTAGATATAAGAATGATCTGGAAGTAAACAAGACTTTAAAGGGAGGCAGCTCAGCTTTGAATACTCTCTGTCTCTGAAATCTAAGAATTTTAGGGTTCCAAGTGCCTGGTAGAAGTAAATCTAAGTTTGCTTCTCAAGAGGGAGTAAATGTCCAAGGTATGAGGAACAGATACTGTTCTGTGACCCCCTCAAACTTTTAGGTATGACAGACTGTTCTTTGCTGCCTTTGCAATTTGTATTTTTGTTTTGGGGGGAGAGGGGTGTCAAGGGACAACTAGTCTTGCTTCAAATCAGTAGAATACCATGTAGATGAGAGAATATACCCAGTTATGATATATTACATCAAATTTCCATCTTAATTTCAAAGAATTAAACTGCTGTTCTGAGTACTAAGGATGATCTCTAGTCAGCAGTCAGCAAGAAACAATCCCTTATTCCAGTGATTGTAAGGAACTAATGTTGCTGACCACCATGTGATTTTGGAAATGGATCTTTATTTTTTTTTGTCCAGTTGTGGGGCCTGAACTCTGGGCCTGGGCACTGTCCCTCAGCTCTTCAGCTCAAGGCTAGCGTTCTACCACTTGAGCCACAGCGCCACTTCCGGGTTTTTTCTTTTTGCTTATGTGGTGCTGAGGAATCGAACCTAGGGCCTCAGGCATGCAAGGCAAGCATTCTACCACTGAGCCATCTTCTTAGCCCCTGGAAATGGATCTTGATACCAACTAATACCACGAATGCAACCTTAGACCATAGAGGAGCTAAATAAGCTGTGCTTGGACTCTGACCCACAGAGCCTGAGATAGTAAATGTGTGTTAAGACACTTAATGTGTAGGAAAATTGTTAAGCAGCAGAATAAAGACTATACCTCCAAATCTGTTAAAAGTTCTGCAAAAGGTCTGCAGGAATAGCTTAAGTAGTGCCAGCCTAGCAAGTACAAAGCCCTGAGTTCAAACTCCAGTCCCACAAAGAAAAGAAAAAAAAAAAAAGGTTTACAAGGAAGTAACTATCCCCCCACCCCCCAAAACTGAAAACCATTTAAAGAGAAATGCAGGACCTACATTATTGGAACTTTCAGAGACAAGCTATATTTCTGAAGATTTTGGCAAAGAAGAAAAAATTGCACTTAAAAAAAGTGTAATCTTAAGAGAGGAACATAAAGGCACTATGCCACTGTGCCTCTGATCATATAATATTTAAATAAACTCCAGGAAGTGTGAAAAAAGTGCAAGCCAGGGATGGTACTCTATGCCTGTTAATTCCAGCACTTGGGAGACTAAGATCACAAGTTTGAGGCCAATCTGGTTATATAACAAAACTCAAAGCTGGTTGCCAGAGGCTCCTGTCTATAATCCTACTTCCTCAGGAAGCTAAGATGGGGAAGATCACCATTCAATGCCAGCCCAGGCTGAAAAGACCCTTCAGACTCTTCAATTAGCTACCAGAAAACTGGATCTAGAGCTCAGGGACAGTGCCCAAGTCCCCTGAGTTCAAGCCCCATGACAAAAATAAAAAATAAATCTCAATAAAGCAGAAATACGGATTTTTTTTTTCAGTAACCCAGGCTGATCTTGACCTTGTAGACCTGCTTCAAGCCTATTGAGTGCTGGAATTGTTGACATATTGACATCACATTGAGCTTGAAATTATCTTAATGGGTAGATTATATAGAACAGACATAGCTGAAGTAGTAATTAGTGAATGGATACAAGTCAGAAAATATATCCATAATGATAGAGACAGATAAAACTGAAAATACAAATGTTGGTACATAGAAAATATAGTAAGAAGGGCTAACATAGAAAATTAGTACTTACAGGTGAGGAAAGAGGAAAGAAGATGAGCAATAGTTTGAGTTGTTGATAGAACTTTACAGATTAAAGAAGATATCAAATTAGAGATTAAAGAACATTTATCATCCAGGCATTTGCAAAGCCACTGGGTTCAATCTCTAGCACAAAAATCCAAAATTTTTTCTTTAATCACATATTTACTTATCCCATTAATATCAGCCTTAAAAAAATAACCCCTATTAACATGAGCATTATTCTTCCTTTCTCCTCCTTTGTCTCCAGTGTATTAAATTGGTGATTCAGGGGCTTGATAGAACCCATGTTTTTCATCTACAGGTAAGCTCTGAAATTGTTTGGTTTATAGTTCCTGGGGTCATTCTGTCTAAGCTTACAAGGTTTTACCCTAAACATGTAGGGCTTAGCAATATCCAACCACAGACTTAATGGGACAAATTTCCCTAACAGATTTCTGGAACTTTCTCACATTGTTCTTTTCTTATACCCTGTGATATATATAGTATAGGCATCAACCAGTGAGAATGGATTCAGACTGAAACACTCATAACAGGGTGTTTGGCCAAATAGCAATTCCACACTTGTCCTAGTTCTTTGTGGGTGACCTTTTTAACATAGTCATTTCTGTTTCTTCTTTTAAATGTCACTGCCTGTCTTGTTCATTTATCTGTAGGGTCTGTGTTCTGCTCAGCTATTTGAAGGATACTAACATTGCCATATTTGTGATAAATATTTCTTGTATTGCAGAGTTTTACTTTGACTCTTTTCCATCTGAAGTAACTTTTGTCTATGAAATAAACTGGCAACAGATGTAACAAGAAAAAAAGCCACCATGGAAGTGGCGCTGTGGCTCAAGTGGTAGAGCGCTAGCCTTGAGCTGAAGAGCTGAGGGATAATGCTCAAGCCCAGAGTTCAAGCCCCATGACCCACACAAAAAAAAAAAAGAAAAGAAAAAAAGCCACCATACACATTTTATTACATGCCTAAGACACAGGAATATGAGACTCAAGGGGGAGCAAGTTAGCTGAATCTTATTTAGAATTTTGCAAAGGGACAGGTGTTGGCTTCTGGAGAGAAGGAAAGGGGTTCAGGTTTATGGGAGGGAAGAATGTGCACAGTAAACAAGGAGAGGTGTCAAAACCCCTAACTTCTTTTTCCTGGGGAAAGACGTCTCCTAGGGTAGCAGGAGAGTGCAGGAAGGAAATTTGGTGAGAAAAGCCTCTGTTTGCATCTGCTGTTGTCTTTATGAGTGTAGATGAGTTTTGACAGCTTTTAGAGCTATTCCTGTGCCTGCACATGTCTGCAGTTTCTCTAAATACACCAAAGAAATATATTTGAGGTGGGACATTTTACTTTCACAGGATTATATTATGTTAATCTTTTCTAAATCTTATGCTTGATTACTTAAGACATAAGCTGGTCTTAGTCTTCACTATAGAATTGATTGTGTATCTTTCTATCTCACTATGTTGCATTAAAATTAATGAAACAAATACTTGGTATACACTAAAGAGGTTAAAGAAAATGTAAGATTCTTTTCCTTTAAAATTTTAAAATTAGCTGGGCGCTGGTGGCTCACGCTGTAATCCTAGCTACT